GACTGCGGGCCGATAGGGCCGCGGGATGAGGAAGCGGACCGAGCCAGTCACCTTGGAGCATGAGAGCTGCGCCGCCTCAGGCTCGTCCTCCTCCGGCTCGGCCGCCGCGGCGCTGGACGCCGACTGCCGCTTGAAGCAGAACCTGCGTCTGGCGGGCAAGGGGCCGGCAGAGCCGCGCAGCGGAGCGGACGCAGGCATGAAGCGGGCGCTGGGCAGGTGAGACGCGGCGCGGGTACTCACGGGCCCCTCACCTGGCGGGCAGGTATTCCCAATCCCCCACCTTCAGGGATCTGCTGTGGGAGCATCACAGCGTCCCATCCTCCCGGCGTCCTCTTCGACCCTTCTTCTGGCTGCCTCCCCTCGTCTGGCCCGCAGGGACCGTCCAACCCCATTCTTTCCTCCAGGCGCTTGCCTCTGGAGCGCTCCTTCCACCCTCGCTTGCCTGGCGTCCACCCGTACCCTACGGGCTTCTCACTAACCCACCCAACACTGTAGCCTGTGGACCCTTATCAGATTAGCCCGCAGGGATACTCAGCGACCGGGTCAGCAGTAGTTAGGGATTCAGTAATCCTGACTGGCCCTGGAAGAGTCTCCCGAGGAGTTAGGAAGGCCATGTGTAACAAGAGGGCCACGCAGGGTGGACTGCAGACCCTGTTAGCCACTTCACTTGCTTTCCCTTGACCTCAAACGGAGCTCAGTAGCAGCTCTCCTCTGTCTGGAAAATTTTCGGGTGCTTGGTCCTTCTCTTCGGTAGTTCATCCTAGTAACTATTTCAGAGCAGCGTTCGCAGACTCTCTTTCGAGTTCGTAGTGTCTAGGGGAAAGGATGGATGCATCCATCCTCAGCTGTTGGAGGGAACCGGTGGTTGGCTGTGCAGCTGGCTCCAGGCACTTGAAATCTGGTCATTGAGAATCACTTTGTAAGGACCTGAAGTCTTCTGGGGTTAGTCGATTAGTTAGTTTTGCATCCTTCCTTTGGGATGGAGAAGAGTACAGTTATGTAAAGCCGATTTCAAAATTGAAATAACATATTCCCTTATTTGATGGTTTCTTAATATGACAATTTGCCAATTTGTAGAGTATTATCTTTCTTGGCAGTTTTGAAGTCTTGGTAGTTCAGGATCAGAGATGTTGCTTTGCAATATTCCCAAGACAGGTTTGTAGCAGTCATTTCTTTTTACATCAATTGAGTGTTCCTTATGTATATGTAAAACATTTACCTAAACAGAAAGAAAATGAGCTTGAAGCTCTGTGGTGAAAGATCATGACCTTAAACTACAGAGATCTCTTAAGTCAGTCTTGATTGTAAGATTGATTCTCAGTCTTACAGAAGGGCCAGAACTGGCTGTTTTTGTTTTGTATGTGGATAAAATTAACTAGCGCCGGGCGTTGGTGGCGCCCGCCTTTCATCCCACCTTTCATCCCAGCACTCGGGAGGCAGAGGCAGACGGATCTCTGAGTTCGAGACCAGCCTGGTCTACAAGAGCTAGTTCCAGGACAGCCTCCAAAGCCACAGAAAAACCCTAACTCGAAAAAAAAATACAAAAATAAAATAAAATAAAATAAATAACTAGCAAGGGGTGGGTGGGGTTGCCTACCCAGCAAAGGCTCCTGTCCTCATCCCTAATGACCTGAGGTCCATCCTTGGAACTTAATGGTGGAAGGGGAGAACTGTCTCCCGAAAGTTGGCTTTTGACCTTCATGCAGTCTACCTCACATACATGCATACAAAATAAATGTATTACATGTAATTAAAAATTAGCAGATGATTAATCTTTCGTAAAACTGACACTTTTCTTTCTCTTAAGAAAAGTTTACTTGCATTAAAAACCCTTGATAGTTCAAATACATTTTTATTTATATGCTTTGCATATAATTTAGATAACTTAGAAGTTCTTTCTTTGAAAAAAATCAAATTGCTATGTACAGTAATGTTCAGGGGGTGGGAATACTGCCCTGACACCTTCCTTGTATTAAAAGGACCTGATTTGTATTGTGGGACAAAGAGGAGCATTCAAATGGTGCCCACATCCTCTGAATGAACAGAGGCTTTAGGGGAATAAAGCATAACAAAGGAAGGCCAGGATGGAGCAATACTCCATTGCTTTCTTTCTGTCGCCTTTATGAGACATTCTGGTGCTTCACTCAGCCCTGCCCTGCCCTGCCCTGTTTACCTTATCATTTACCTGACATTATAATTGTTACAGTTGCATGCATACTTGTTGAATTGCATTACCTGTCTCCTCCCCAGCAAGAATGGAAATGCAGTAAGAGCTAGTTGCTTTCTCCACCTCTGTAATACAGTGCCTGTCAAATGGTAGGTGGCAAAAATGCTCATTGAATAAATGAGTATCTATGGAATAAATTCCTAGAAGTGGAATTGCTGGGCCAAAAGGTGTGTTTATAACTGACAAGTAAAGCCAAAGTATGCACTGAAGAATTAGTACCGATTATGACCTCCATCACTGTAAGTTACCTGCCCCTAAGACTGTGTATAATTACCACATTTTGACCTTGCCTGTTTCTTTTATAACTTAGTTCTTTGGATACTTTCAGATACATGAAAGTGAAGTAAACATATAATGGTTCACTATGTATCTACCACACACTTTTAAGCTTTTACTGTTTAACAGTATTGAGTCATCCCTCTTCTCTGCATTTTTTTTTTCAGGGTAGGGGCTAGACTATTTTAAAGCAAATTCTATGAATTGATTAATTGATTGATTTTTTTGAGGCAAGTTTTTCTGTGTAGCCCTGGCCATCCTGGAACTAGCTCGAACTCAGAGATCTGCCTGCCTCTGCCTCCTGGTGCTGGCATGTGCCATCATCACCCAGCTTGCAAATTTTATTTTTAAATATTTTAGGATAACTTGAACAAAAAAAATTTATTTGAAACAATGTAGTAGTGATAGTACCATGTATCAACTATGTATAATATCCAGTCTGCACTCAAATTTCCTAAATTCTCAGAAATGTCCCACTGATTCTTTTATCTTAAAATTCTGTTTTTTGTCTTTGCTCCTTACCTATGTGTTTCCTTTAGAAAAATTCTATACATTCTTTTTATATATTTATTATTTTGTGTGTATTTGTGCTATGTGTGTGGAAGTACATGTTCCATGTAAAGATCAGAAGAAAACTTCATGGTATTTGTTTTCTCCTCTATCTTTATGTGGGATCTAGGGTTGAACTCAGTTCTCCAGGCTCAAATGACAAGTGTCTTTACTGGATGAGTCATCTTCCTGACCTCTCCTATACATTTTTTATACTAATTATTTGGTTTTGTTGTTGAAAGTATGTCCCTTTATCATAGCATGTATTCTTATTGTATTAGTCATAACTAATAACATTATTTCTCATAGTTTTTACAATTGATTCCCTTTGATTTTCTGAGTATTCTGTCAGAACAGCTGCAAGTAGTAAGAATTTTGCCCCTTGTCTTCCAGTTTTCATGTTACTTGTTCCTTTGTTTTTTCTGATTCATGGTATTTCTAGACAGAAAGCCAAGTACTGTTGATGATTCTGGACATCTTTGAGTAGTTCATGACTTTATTGAGAGTCAAGTACTTATGGGTAATGCTGGGTACCATTGACTAGTTCATGATTTTACGATAGTCAAGTACTATGGGTGACCCTGGGCACCTTGACTAGTTCATAACTTTACTGACAGCCGAGTACTGTGGATGATACTGGGTACCTTCATGACTTTACTGATAATGCTTTTTGGTGTTTTTTGTCATTAAGTGTCATGCTAGTTATTTTAGCAAGGTGTGCTGGTGATGTTTTTTAATAAAAAAAATGGTAGCTGGATTTTTTAAGTGACATTTTTAGCATTTGTGGCAGGTTTATAGTGCTTTTCTCTTTAATATTACAGGTGACAGTTTTTTTTTATTATAGAATCATTCCATTTTGGGGATAAATATTGTTACATAGAGGTTTATTGATATTTTATTTAGAAATTGCATGTCACTATTTATAAGGTTCATCTATAATTTTCTTTCTTTTTTTTTTTGCAGTACTGGGATAGTGAGCAGTTTAATCAAAATTTGTTGTATTTTTATTTACATGAGTGTGCACATGAGTGCAGGTGCCAGGGCCAGAGGCAGGGATCTCTGGTAGCTGGAGTTATAGGTGATTGTGAGCAACCTGACCTGGTGTTGGGAACTGATCAGATCCTCTGAAAGATTTGTACATGATTTTAACACTGAACCAATTCTCCAGCACCCCCAAGGGTTTATTTATTTATTGCTGTCTCTATCAGTTGTTTGAGCATTATCTATAGCTTATTTAAAAGTTTTCTCTGTCCAGGCATGGTGGCCAATGGGGCTGAGGCAGAGGAAGGTGCTTGAGCCCAGGAGTTTGGGGTCAGCCTGGGCAAAATGAGGAGGAGGTATGGATCTCTCTTTCTCTCTATAAGGCAGTTTAAACTACTTTGTGACAGAGTTTAAGTAGCTCAGGCTTGTCCTCTAATTCTCTGTATAGTCAAGGATGACCTTGAATTCTTGGTCCTCTTGCTCAGCCTCCAAGTGCTGGGATTACAGGCCTCTGCCACCAGACCTGGCTCAATTTAAAATACTTTCAAAATGGTCTGTTTTTTTAAAGTTTGAAGAATTCCCATGTAAAACTGCTAAGTGTGGAACTCTTTTAGCATATAGCATTATTAACTGTTATGAATTGTTCTAGGCCATTAGTGTTTAGGCTTTACTACTGTCTGGGTTCTCTTTTGCTGACTTACACGTTCATGGAAAATCATCAAATCATCTACTTAATTTAGCTTCCCCTGCCTCTCTCCATCTGAGGCTATTTTCCTAATATTATTAAACATTTCCTGCCTCCTCCCCTTGATTTAGACTAACTCATGATCTGTCTAAGACAGA